ATCTTAAGACCAAACGGCATACGTTTGAATCGATAGCGGCCATATGGTGAATTAAACGTTGTAAGATAGCTGGACTCCTYGTCGARGACAACATTCCAGTATCCGCACTTTGCAWCMACGATTGAGAATACTTGAGCTCCACTTAGCTTTGGTAGAATCTCTTCTAGAGTTGACRTGACATGATGTTCTCTTTTGATTGCRGCATTCAAGTCCTTGGGGTCCAGRCACAAGCGGAGTTTCCCGTTAGACTTCCTTCTGTACACAAGGCTRTTGACCCACGCAGTRGGCTCGCCTTCTTGGATTTTGCARATTATGTCTTTCTTTACCATCTCRTCTAATTCKTCTTTGATTTCGTCTTTCATGCTGAGTGCCACCTTCCTAGGTGGGTGCACTACTGGTGRCACAGAYGGGTCGATAATTATGTGGTATTCCCCTTGGAATTTTCCGATTCCGTCAAAGCATTCTGGATACTGCGCGATAAGATCTTGCTTGTCTTTGATTGGTGCCGGGTTAGTTGGACGTTTTCAAAATTCTGTGGGCCTGTTCCTGGGAGAGAACTGCTTCAATTCGAGGTTGAATCTGACAAGRTCGAGCTCAGTAGCTGTACGAAGGCCAATGATCGCTGGGCCTAGTGTGTCTGTGATGTAGAATGTTGCTACTGTCTTGCTGTCTTTGAAATTACATGGGATTTTTACTGTGCCGAGATGTTTGATTTCTGAACCGCCGTATGCAACTAGAATTATCTTTGATTGGTTCAGTGTTCCTTGTTTTGGYTTACCGTTTGCATCRATATTCTGTGGGTACATATGTTGGTAGRYTCGRAGRGGTAACACGTTTCCCTGTGCACCTGTGTCGATTTTTGCTTTCAGAGTTGTCCTGTCTTTCTCTCTTCCGGATATGTCAATATTGACGGTGGCAAAMACTTCTTCTTTACGGACTGCATTGTTTTCTTGACCTATGTTTCCAATGCAGATRGATTCAAACGAGAKTGTTTCGAAGTCTTCTCCCAGTGATGGGGAAGTGTTCTGGATGTCGTGAATGTTTTGTTGTGATCGCATTCTTTTCCT